GGTTGCATTTAGCAATTCTCCATTAGAAGGTTTCCAATTAAGGGTAAAATGTACTGATTCATGCTTCAATGAATTAACGATAAATTTCAATCAGTTGTTTCACCAAGACTCATTTCCAATCCTAGAAACAGCCATCTCTTTTTGTCTGATAGAAACAATTATTGAAGAAGACATTTGCGGTCAATGGACGACATGTTCAGATACTACAAGTACTAAACCACTGGTGTCAACAATGGTTTCTTCAAGAAGTGAGCCTCAAGATTCTCAACCACGAGGTCAGCCATGACATTGCGAGTTTCTACCGTGCCGCTTCCCACATGAGGCAAGAGCACCACATTCTCAAGTCCAAACAGCTGCTCGGGAACTTCTGGTTCCTTCTCATAAACATCGAGCCCCGCCCCACCTAACCGGCCTTCTACCAGAGCGGATACCAACTCAGCTTCATCAACATGAGGGCCTCTCCCAATGTTGATGAGAACACCCTTCGGACCCAAAGCATCAATGACTTCCCGGTTGACAATGTGGCGGGTCTCTTCAGTTAATGGGCATGCAACAACTAGAACATCACAGTTGGAGGCCAACTCCACAACACTTGGGTAGTATTTGTACTTCGGCTCTGGTTTTGCAGTTCTGGAGTAGTAAGCGATTGGGCAGCTAAAAGCCTCAGCTCTCTTTGCAACTGCTTTTCCTATTCTTCCCAGACCGATGATGCCAACTGTTTTTCCAGTGAACTGAAAAGGAAGGACAACTATTAAAACAAAGTTACTACCAAGAAAGAAATGTTTTAGGCAGACTTTTCCCTAGCTCGTAGTTACTAATTACTACTAACTCTATTTCAGGACCCAAGAAGGGGAAAACATTCCTATAAATAAATATATAAAAAAGCTATTTGTTCTATCAATTGATAAACTCGACATTTCAAATTAGAGCTACATCTGTCTCCAACTTTAAAATGGTAGACATAATTAAAAGCGGTAAAGAACCCAAAATATCAACATGTCACAAAATTATTACATTCGAACTACCATAATAACAACACATCTTGATAATCTTGATTTCATGAAAGGACTTCATATCTTATGCTATCATGTGCATGGCACATAAGCAGCTTATACAAAAGTGGCAAAACTCCTTGAAACCTACAGGGAAGCAGTTTATACATGAAAGACAGAGGAGCAAAAGCAATTACACAGAATATTGAGAAATAGCAAAGTCCACGATATTGCCAATGAGATCACACAAGAACCACACACAGGAAAACAATAAATCGAAAAATGCGTAATTCAACAGGCATTGACATTTGCACACAAAACAGATTAAAAATAACCATGTTTGGTTACCATTGAAAGTATCATACAGGATGGAAGTGAATTTTGTTACTAAATTTTCAAATGCATTACTGTAAAATTGGAAACAATACGAAAAGTTTCAATAGATACACCAAGCCCGAAGAGCAAAGCAGCCAGTAAGCAAGCATTTTTCAACCAAAGAAATAGAATGCGATGAACACTCCATAAACAATGCGCATATACATACAATAATGAGAAACAAACAATCAACAGCCGCAAGCTTTCCTCATTACATCTACAGAAGAAGCTATTCAAATCAGAAACAAACAAGCAATACCGAATACCATCTCACCCTCTCTCCCTTTAATGGGTATGGGTTGATGTCATCCTAAATTCATCAGTACAAGAGTTACTTTCAGTACAGACAACAACACTTGAAGACATCTTTCAGCCTGTACTTAAACTTACTGCTAATCTGCGGAAGCACTACTATTTCATGCCTTTAAATTCTAAACTCAGTAAAGAATATCAAATCCAGGACTTCACATCTTGTGCTTAACAACAAAGCTTTATCATCAATTCAACTGGTCGATACCAGTATCACGTTTCTTATTTCTTTCAAACAATTGGGTTTTCTTTTTTTGGGGTAAATTTTTACCATAAACTCAAACTGGGTATTCCACCAAACCCAACAAATAACAAAACACAATTACAAAATTTTACTTTAAACCTAGACACAAATCACAAAAACCATAATCAATATTACTTGAGACCAAAAGAAAAAAAGAAAAACAAACCAACTCAACGGTGAGTAGATGAAAAAAGAAAGAAAGCATAACCAATGCAAATTAAGTCCAAAAACAGAGAAAAGACACAACCTTGGTGGTCAACTTGTAGTCACCCTTCTTCCACTGCCCGCTCCTCACATACCGATCACACTCACAGAGCCTTCTCAACACAGCCAACGTCAACCCAATAGCAAGGTCCGCCACGTCATCGGTCAAAACATCGGGCGTGTTGGTGACCCGAATACCCTTTTCCCTGCACTTGTTCAAATCGACCTTATCGACCCCGACGCTGAAACAGGCCACGATCTCCAGCTTCGGCAATTTCTCAATGAGCTCGGCGTCCGCTCCGTTCCCTGCATTACCGACGAAGGCTCGGATGGAGCCGGAATGGTCCTTGAGGAACTGGGTTTTTTGAGGGACGGTCCAGAGCTTCAAGAGGTTGAAGCGCTTCTCGAGCTCTTGCTCTAAGTACGAGGACATTGGGGCTGGCATGAGAACGCCTATGGACTCCATTGTTGGATTTTCGGAACTGGGTTTCGATTGGTGGCACCCAAAACGGTGGGAAAGGTTGGGATTTGTGGACTGGTAGTGGTGGACGGTTGTTTGTTGTTGTATGGTGTTCAGAGAGGAGGACCAGTGGAAGGGAAGAAATGGAGTGAAATGTCGACGTCTCGTTGGATGAACGCAGGTTGAGATTAGCTTACAACCAAAACTAAGCGTGGTGTAGTGACCAGCCATGTTTGATTTAAAAAAATAAGATAAATTATATTATTAGAATAATGCAAATTTTCTTTTTTTGTCTGAAAATAATGCAATTTTGTTTTGCTAAATAATTAAAAGTTTATTTTGTTAATCATTAATGTGATATATATATATATACAGAGAGCTTCCATTGATGGATCCCTCAAATAAGCTTATTTGAGGAACACCCTTTGTAGGCCCCACTCCGAATTGTATTTCACTAATCCGTCTATTTTGTAAATACTCATTCAAAGATCATCTCTACAAAAAATCACTTGAATCCGATATCATTTGACCACTTAATTGAGTTATTGAAATTTTAGTACTTTCTTGAAGCACCGTGTTCATTGATTTTGTAAGACACAATTGGATGTCGAAATAGTTTCAGATTTGTCTAATTTTTTGTAAGGATGATCTATGAATGAAGACCTAAAAAATAGATGGTTTGGATCATTGGGAAAAAAATTGTAGGGTATCCTAAAGGGCA